CGACTCAGCTTTTGCTTAATTCAAGTGATTGCATGTCTACTGATCTCTAATCACAGCATAGGTCACCATGGCAATGTACAGGTAAGAAGTGAAGCACATTTATAGTACATTACAACCCAAGGTTTACCCTGAAGTTATCTCAATAAGCCAAAATCCTGCCTCACAGCACAGACCTGTGACTGAACCAGAACAAATCTATTTTTTCTCATTTTCTCAGGAATGTGCCAACTCAGCAGTGACATGACTGGAATGTGGAGTAAAAAAGACCGAAACTACATCGATGAGTGGGCGTGCCTCCATCGGTTTTCCTCGGTTTACACCTGCACCATAAAGGATCCACAGGTCCTGTTTTTTCCCAGTATATTTTGGACGTACTGAATTAACCTACGATGACTCCATTAACATCATTATGTGTGGCTCTGCTGTTTGCTGATTTGGCGTCTTCAGGTGAGTTCTTTACTTTCTGTTTCCAAAAAAGTTGATTCTGTTCATCTGGACAGAGTATTTTCAGTTTCTGCACTTTGTCTTTAGACTTCATGAACAAGGCCCTGAAACATTGCTCTCATTTTCTGTAAAACTGCTGAATTTCCTTGAGATCAGCCTGTGCATCATGTCCGTGCACTGGATAATGATGGTATAACTGATAGTGTTGTTTCTCATAAGGATAGATTAAGAGGAATCCTGAGCTACGAGGCAGGGGTGCAGTCTGGTAAACCGTGTTGTTTCACTCTCAGAACAGAAAACCGTCACAGCTGAGTCTGGACAGAAGAAGGTCACTCTGACATGTGGAGCTCTAAACAAAAACATCATAGTTGTAGAGTGGAGCAGAGAAGGCCTGGAGCCGGAAACTGTCCTTGTTTACCGGGGTGGGCAGTTTGTTCCAGATGAGCAGCATCCATCTTTTAAGGACCGGGTGGATCTGCAGGACAGACAGATGAAGGATGGAGACGTGTCTTTGATTCTGAAGGATGTGACGATTAATGACGCTGGGACATACAAGTGTCGTGTCATTGTGAGAGAGGGAGACAGCATGAAGCTCATCAGCATCATCTATCTGAGAGTTGATCCTCCAGGTGAGCAGAGTTCAGTGTGTGTGATCAGAGGTGAAGATGCTCCCTGTCGTTGGATTCTGTTCTGTTCTTCACTCATTACCTACATGAATGCTGACATCTCTCCTGTTTCCCTCCTGCAGTTCAGCCAGAACACACAAAGGATGAAGGGAAGGAGGATATCGCTGGTCAACTTGAAATCGGTCTGCCATTTATTGGTGGGATTGTTTCAGATTTTATTTTATATTCAGTGAAGGTGAAGCTGCTTCCTGGTTGTTGGACTCTACCTGATTGCTGACACGTCTCCTTTTTCTCCTGCAGGTCACACAAAGGATGGATCTAAAGGACAGATGAATCATCTATCAGGTTCTGGTGTGTTTCTTCTTCTTTTCCTTTTTCTTGTTGTCACTGCTGCTCCTGTTTGTCGTTGGA